ACATGTACGTGCTAGTAAAGCTTTTGACATCGTAACCCACCATCGTTTCAAATATAGGCTATTTTAATGTGTTTTAAATTATAAATAACCTTATTGTATATAGAAGTGTTTTTATTTTCATCTTATTATGTTTAATTTTGTAGTAAAATGGTTGCGATGTGAGGTGGGTGGAGTTCGATTTTTTTTTTTTTCAAATATTGTTGTCAAATTGAGGTAGTTAGTGATTGATGTTATGTTTGGCCAAATATTTTAAGGATCATCATAAATTCTAATTTAACATATGATATATATGGTTCCCCATAAGTATGAATCTTGGTATTAGAGATACGCACACAAATAATTAAAAAAAAAAATACTTTAGTACGCAAAAATTTATGGTTGGATGTGGAGTAACTCCTAAATTTGAACAACATACCCCCAATGAAGATATATGTTACTCATTTAACTAACTTATATACTTCTAACACAATTGTATGTACTTCTATCAAGGAATAAGCTTTGTAAGTAACTACATATATATTTGACATATAGTGAAAATATGTGTACTCGCCATACTATCCTAAAAGTATCGATGAACACATCCAATGTAGATCTAAATGAAAAATGCTTAATTATAATGTGGATAGTCCTAATATGTCTCGTATATAATATTTACTTCTCATACCTTCTAACACATTTGTTTCTTGTGGATGCTTTTCATAGTCTACAAAATGCTGATATGGATTGATACAGACAAAGATAATAAAGAGTGTGGGGACCGAGACATATTTCATAAGTTATCTACTAACTCATCGATATCTCTTACCATGATCCACAATATCATATGTTAGGTCAAATCTATCTTATGTAACATTTTCATTCATCCTTAAATAAATGAAAAAAATGATTTCAATGATCGTTTCAATAATATTAGTTGATAGACACCAATATCCGATGAAATTGCAGTGATCTATTTGAATCATAGTCGTCTACGCTACCCACAATCATGGTTGGGTATCGAGAGACTCCTAAGTAGAAGCCACATACCCCCAATCATGATATTTGTTCATTTATTTCACAAGTTACATACTTCTAAATTGATTGAATATACTCATATTGAGAAATAGACTTTACAAATAATTTTATACATATTTGATGTATATTGAGACGATGGGTAGTCACCAAATGTTCTTAAAGTACTAATGCATAAATTTTATATACACATCAATGACTAATACGTTCCTCAATAGGATGAAAGGGTCCAATATGTCTAATACGTAACATTTACTTACTATAGCTTCTAATATATTTCTTTTTGTTGAGAGTTTCTTCCTACTTTCACAAATGCTTGCACTGACAATCATAATATAGAGAACATTATGCATCATCAGTTATAAACTAACTTCAAAATATCTATTACTATGGTTCACCGCATGATATATTATATCATATATATCTTAAGGGACATTGTCGTCCACCTTAGAATATATTAATAAGTAATCTCATAAGTCATTTTAGAAATATCCGCTAATGCACGCTAACTTTCAAGAACATGGGTGTGATGTAATCTATTAGTAATTGTTTGATCCCATTACAATCAAATTCTGAATAGATACTTAAATACTTATGTTTACAATAATTATACTTGTATACGAATATAAATACTTCTATACAGAAACATGTACCCTTATATTTGGATATCTATACCTTTGGTACTAATGAATATACTTTCTAAACATCACAACATACTCATATTGTCATTGTATATCTCTGTCACAAAAATTAAATACCCGAATAAATAAATGCGATTTACAGGGGAATCCAAATCATTCAATAGCGGTCTCATACACAGATTTATGTTCAATGTACAATATTCCAAAAATAAAAAGAATTTTTAGCCACGAGACGACAAACCAGAAATACTTACGATGGAGCCTTCTTACAACTTTGTCGGTTGTGTCCTAGACGGACCACAACGATCATATTCTTTAGACTGTTTCACCTGATGTTATTCAAACCACCTTTTTTTAGCCGGTTGGTTAGACAAAAGTCAATGACCTTGCTGAGTGCATCCAACTTTTCCACGACTCAGCTACATTGTTATTTATTATCCCCCAACGAGTTCCTTGGAATAGAAAATTCATCCAACATTGGGTCTGCGATTGTGCAATGAATTTTTGGGCAAATGACATAATCTTCACAAAAAACATTATATCCTACTCAAATTCCATCAGGGAGTTTAACCTGCTTTGTTGAAAACGGATATTTCATTTCTTGTTATACATCGGATATCATTTCATTACCTATACGAAATGTAATTACCTTGTTGTAAATATTATAACATACATATAACATACCCGTATCTTTTCTTGTTTCGGACAAGTGGCATAGTACAACATACATTATATGCTGCTCAAAATTCTTCTATAGGGTGGGGGCATAACCGACTTTGTTGAAAATGGACGTCCATTATTTCTTGTTGTGCATCGGATATCTCCACATTACCTATATGAAACGTAATTATCTTGTTTTACATATCATATTAAATGATACATATATTTTTCACATACCTGAGTGCGGAAGTTGCCCATTAGGTGCCGGAGATAGTATCCGTGATGGACTTTAGAAAATACAGTAGGAAAGGACTTTAGAAGTTTCGAGTGTCTGTCCGAAAAAAAAGTATATTATTTTCAATTATCGACCATCAACGTGAATAACAGAACTTAACCTCCAGCAAAAATATTCTCAATTTTCACAATTTTCAGTAAACAGTGTTGTATAAGTACAAAATTTTAACACTATCCAATATATAAGCACATAAAATAAATATCAAAGTTCATATATGAGTAGTCATAGTATATAACAATAAAACCAAAGTATTTTCAAACAAATGCAATATACAATATCAGACAACAAAGGTATAAAATAAATAAATATAGGTACACTACACTGGAAAATGGTACCTGTGAAAATACCCACACATACCATCAGAAAATTGCAACAGTCCCCACAAAACTTTTTCCTATACATACTGTCCTAACAAAAGTTCATAATAAAACTTAATTAACAACTTCTGCAACTACCAACTTGAATAGGAAAACTATCACCAAAACAATAATGCTTACCGGAATCGGTCGCGAGCCCTAACAATACAATCATAATCAACCAATAAAATTATCGTACCAAGAGAACATCACACGTTGAGGAATCGAACCTTCAACTTACCCATTTCTCTCTTGCCCGAAATAAATTTGAAAATTGGGATTTGGATTCGAAATCCATCACAAATTTACCACCAATTATAGACTCCTTCATGCAAATGAAACCGAACGATGTAGATAATCTTTTTTCTTCGTGCGAATGAAACCAAAAGCTGGACTCAATTTACTTCTTTCGAGCAAAAAGAAACCTAATAAAGAGAAAGAAAAAATCAAAATGGGTAAAATAATTTATGGGTTGAAGAACAGGGCAATATTGGAAATTAGAAAAAAAAAAATGGGGAGCTAATAGTAAGAATCTTTGAAAAAAAAAAAAAGGAGTGCAGAGTACTGCAAATCTCTGTAGGGACTGAATCAAAACATGAAATTAGTGATGGGTATTTTATTCCAATTGTCCGTAAAATACATAACGAAACACAATAAAAATTTAACATAATCAATAAACATCTATAAAGAAAATAACAAATATTAATATGATATGCAAAAATCTATAAAGAAAATAGAAAATATTAATATAATATATAACAATACATAACATGTTATTTGTCTTGTGAGAATATGCTAATTGCTTCAAGTTAATATGTTATGTTATCTATTTTGTAACAAATTACTAATTGCTTTGAATTGCTAACTTGATCAAATCAATACAATACTAATTTGACCTTGTCAACATTCTAACCTTCATTTATATTAATAATGTAAAATTTTTTTTGAATTATGTAGAGTATAAAAAACTAACCTTATTTTAATATTAATATAGAATTAGCCAATAAAAATATTAATTATTTCTACCACTAACCATTATTATATATAATATAAATATAATACTCATTTCGTCTCATTTCAATTGTCTCAATTTCCTTTTTTGTATGTCTCACTTCAATTGTCACGTGTTTATTTTTGGTAAATTTTACTAAATTTATACATACTTAACAAATATAAATCAACTTAAATTAACTTTATACTTCATATATAACATCACACATCACCTAGGATCCACTCAAAAGCTCTTTATTTCTATCTCTCTCTTCAAATAAACAAATATTTTTATTTATATTTAAAACTCCACTCTTTCTACAAAATTAATTTATTTTAAGTATAAATAAATAAATATATACTCCCTCCGTCCCTTTACAATTGACACCTTTGAGTTTGGCACGGTATTTAAGATAGTTCTATTTAAAAAGTTGATGATATTGAATTATAATATTAATTTATTAGTATTTTTTTATTTAAGTGATGATGATAGTAATTTTAAAATATTATTTAAATTTTATAATAAAAAATAATTTTTTTATTTAAAGATATTAAATTAAAATGGTCAAAATCAATAATTTTAATTGTAAATTGAAGAAAAAATTATTTATTTTATTTAAACATTTAAAAATTATGTTCATTAAAAATTAGTGATCAATTTACAAAAGACACCAAATGAACCATTACAAATCGATTAGAAACTGTCTGGAGTTCTTAATGGCGTATGTTTTGGTAGTGAATAATATCGCCCGCAACTGCCTCTGAAATATGTGGATTCATTGAAGGCAGTAGATGAAGCTGGTGAGAATACATATTGAGTTTATATATATATATATATAGGTATATGATATGTGCATGTATTTATGTATTTTGAAGTAGCAGTCAGTTATATAAATACTCCCACCAACAATAAACCTAATACTGTCAATAAATAAACAACATCAATTAATACTTCTAGCATAAAAACAACAACCAACAATTTCATAAAAGAACAAAACTATTTATCTCCTAATATTTCCTCCAAAACGCAATCATTACTGCTAATATAAAAAAAATAATTACAATTGTCAAATATTCATTTCCCTCCTAATATTTCCTTAAAAAAGCAATCATTACTTCTAATATCAACACAACTAACAACAACAATATCTAACAACATTAAAGGTACATTTAGTATCTAAAATGCTAAAATAATTCATTTCCCTCCTAATATTTCCCTCTCAAATGTTTGAGGTGCTATAAATGCACTTGAGAGGAGCACAAGCCATCTTCATTCACTGCATTGTAGGATAAAAGAATCAATCAATATTCTGATATTATCATGGAGTCAAAACAACAAGAAACATAAAGCTTCTCTGAAAAAGGTACACTTTATTCAACATTAATAAATTTTTAATGCATTCAAGTATGTAGAGTAGTGAAATATACTGTTTTTTACCATCTTTTCAATTATACCTTCTCAGACATCAAATAACACAATTCTTTCCTTTACCTCAGGCCTACAATGACAAGGAGTAGAGAATTTAGTAACAAAGAAAGGAATGCTATAGTGCAGTTTTTACTTATAAATCTAAAAAATGGTAAACCTGCTTTTGGTAAAATGTTGGAAGCACAAAAGATATTTCTATGTTCTAAAAGTACAGTTAGTCGGTATTGGAAAGAAGCCAAAAAACAATTAGAAAATGGTGGAGTTGTGAAATTAAGCGGTAAAAAAAAGATTGTTTTGAAGCGTAAGAAAGTGCTTCCAAACTATGAAATTATTGCATGCGTTCCCTTGAAAAAAAGAGGATCTATTCGGAGTCTTGCTGCATCTATTAAATGCTCAAAAACCACTGTTTGGAGGTGGTATTCAACGGGAGTCTTAAGAGCCCACACAAGTGCTCTTAGACCGGATTTGACAGCTCCAAACAAGCTGCTCAGGCTGGAGTTTGCACTTGATCAACTTGTTGTTGCATCAATACAACAAGCTATTGAATTCAAATGCATGAATAATATTGTACACATTGATGAAAAGTGGTTTTATATCACTCGAGGATCACATAGATTTTATATGATCCCAGAAGAGGAAGATACACACAGAACATGCCAGAAAAAAACATTTCTTACTAAAATCATGTTCATGTGTGCAGTTTCTAAACCACTATACGGGTTGGATGGTTCGCTGCTTTTTGATGGAAAAATAGAGATTTTTCCATTCACATACCAAGACACTGCTAAAAGGAGTAGTAAAAATCGTGCAAGAGGCACACCAGTTACTAAGCCCATTGAAGCAATCACAAAGGATGTGATAAAGTCTTGCTTAATCAACAATGTAAGTATATGAAAGTTTATTTTATCGAAATTTTAGAATAAATTATGTTTGTTTGTACTAGTATTTCAAACTAGCACAATCAAACTTATTCTATTTCAATGTTTGCATTCACTATGGTTAGAAGATTGGATGTTAATGAACCTACTTTCTAATTTTTGATAGATCATCCCAGCAATAAAAAAGAAATGGCCAACCAACATGACAAAGAAAATTTATATTCAGCAAGATAATGCAAGACCACACATTAAAAATGATGATGCAGATTTTAGACAGGCTGCCACAAGTGATGGTTTTAACATTATATTGGTTCAGCAACCCCCCAATTCTCCTGACTTGAATGTTAATGATCTAGGATGGTTCTGTGCCATACAAAGCATTCAAATTGAAAAGGACTACAACAATGTTGATGAATTAGTGAATGCAGTGATCTTATCTTTTGAAGAATTGAGTGCTGAAAAATTAAACAAAGTTTTCTTGAGCTTACAAGGCTGCATGGTGGAGATAATGAAGACTAGAGGACTCAACATGTACAAAATCCACACATGAAGAATGATGCACTAATTGCACAAGGTGCTCTACCAAGACAATTGAATGTGATAAAAGATTTGGTAATTGATTGTCCTACATATCTCATGGATCAAGAAAAAGCATACTACGCTATGCTTGTGTTGCAAGGACTAAATATTGAGGTACAAGATGCAATCATGTCTTCTTTTTCAAGGATAACACTTGAATGAGCAAAAAAAAAAAACCTTTTGGTGTAAGAAGTACAAGTATGCACAATTACGCTAGTAGTAATGCAAGCTTTAAAGATGCACAAATATTAGCCATGTAATCTATGCAGTTTTTGTAATGTTTATATTGTGCTTCCATGGTGAATGAATTTGAAATTTTTGTAATGCAAAATTCAATACTACAAAGATTTAGTTTTATGAAAGCTCATCATTGTCATATGAAACACTTAGTGCCATTTCATCGTCATCGAAAGATTATTTTCATCACATACAACAAATACAACATACATACTTATAATAACAAAAGGCAGCACAACTAGTTTTTTATTCTACAAAAATTTAGGCATATTCATAATAAATTTATCATATCAAATTAAGAGAACTAACCAATATTTTCATCATGTTCAACACAGGAAGGCAACACAGAAACATAAATTAGCCTAGAAATCTCATACCAAAAAAATTAACAATAAGTACAAAATTGAAATTTAATTATCTCACAGTGTGAAGATAAAAGGAAAATAGAGTAATTGAAACTCTTCAAATATAGTTAACGGGCATTTGAACCGCAATGGTGAAATTGGACAAAATTAATATCCATCGACATGGCTATGGGGCTGTTTTTCAATAGGTGTTTCAGCCACATAGGAGAATGGGTCGTCACGAAGCGCCGCCACCGCCGATTCGTCAGGGGAAAGAGTATCGAAAACAACCTCAACTGAATTAATCGAAGCGAAATACGTACCCGTGAATGAGAAATCGAGGTCTGTACCTACCTCGTTTGAAACCGTCGGCGGCGGGGGCGGCGATAGATCTGTCTTCATCATCGGAAATTGGCTCGCACATCGGAGGAGAAGGAAGAGATCGGCTAGGGTTTTCTTCGCGTTTGGGAGGAAATCGCTATGACAAAGCTCAACACGATCTGTCTTCTATTTCTATTTATTTTTATTTATATTTAGTGTCTTTAAAATTTTAATTTTATATATTTGGAAAATATATTTAATTCTATTAATTTGTAGGAGTAATTGTTAATTATGTGTTTGGTAGATAAAATTTAATAAAAATAGAAAGGTGTCAAGTGTAGTGAGACGGACTAAAATGGAAAATGTGTTAAGTGTCATTACAAAAAAATAGTATATTTGTAACGGAATTCCGTCCCTAAAGATCACGTAGCTAATGTAATTCCATCATTAATTCCGTCTCTAATATCATTAGTAACGGAAAAAGTGGATTTAAAGACGAAAAAATCTCGTTACAAAAATAATATTTTCTTGTAGTTGTGGTGGGACGGAGGGAGTATATATTTATTTATTTATATTATTTAAAATTTTATTCTCTACGAAATGATATCTATCTTGCATATATTTTGTTGAGATATAATATTTAAAATATTTAAACACATATTTCAATTTTTTTAAATATATATTAACTCTTATTTTAAAACTTCTAACAATACTACTTATATAATAAAATAATATTATAACTCATTATTATTAATTAAGTAAACCAACTTACCTTACATATCGTGAAAAAACTAAAATGAGCCTACTCTAATGGGACGGAGGGAGTATATGTTATGTGTGTGACGGATTGCGTGTAATTATTATGTGTATGTATTTATGTTATTAGCATGTATGCATATGTATTAAATACTACTTCGTTCGTCCCGCTTCTAAGTATTACATTTACATTCTGCGTCATTGTACTTAATATTAAAAATATTTTTTATATTTGTATAATTTTTTGTACAAATATCATTATATTAGTATTACAAGACACTAATAGAAATATTTTTGTCATTTTCCATTGATTTGTACTACGTTTTGGTATAATAATTAATTTTTAAAGATCATCATGCAAAAAATAAATATGACCCTTAGAGCCGGATGGGGTAATATTATGTAACATTCAGTACATTCAAGAGAAAAATTGAGAGATAGTGTGATTGATGGGATAGTCATATTCTATTGATGCAAATCCATATATATATGTAAACATATGAATACATACATGGATATAAAATGATACGGCATCACATCAACGTTGATGATATGACAATTATAATTTGCATCCACATTCCGTACACATATATGTTAAGTGTACAACACTCCACCTTAGATGTTTTTTGTATAATAATGTACCTCGTTAAAACTTTATAAGAAAAAAAATCTTAGTGAAGGCAAAAAAAATAAATAAACACAACATTCTTGTGCTTATTTGCTTTCCTGTTCTGAGCATTACACATTCTAATTTATTTACCAATTTTTCAAATATTGTGGTCGGTAATGTCTTGGTCAATAAATCTGCTAAATTATTATCAGATCGAATTTTTTGCATATCGATTTCACTATTCTTTTGAAGATCATGAGTTAAGAAAAATTTTGGTGACGTTATATATCCTTTAAGGTAACCCCCTTTCAGTTGGAATATACAAGTCGTATTATCTTCATATAGTATAGTGAGAGAGATTTTATCTTCAGGTATTTAATCTCAATTTTTCAGAATATGTTAGCCATTCATCTCAACCAAACACATTCTTGACTAGTTTTTCAATATTTGAGCATCATTTGAAGAAGTGACAGTTGAAGTTTGTTTAATTGATCTCCATGTGATCACAGTTTCACTACTAGTAAATATATAGCTAGATTGAGATTTTTCTTTATGAGAATCAGATAAATATTTTGCATCGGTAAAACCAATCAATTTAGTCGAGAATTCTTCTGAGTAAAATAACTCGATATCAGTTGTTCCTTGAAAATAGTGAACAAATGTGCTTAATTCATTCCAATTTCGTTTGGTAGGCGATGAGCTAAATCTTACTAATAAATTTACAGCAATGATATATCAAATCGGGTGTTGTTGACAAGATACATCAATGCGCCTATAGTACTCAAATATGACACTTCTGGACCAAGTATTTCTTCATTTTCCACGGTTGGTTTAAATGTATCATTTATTAAATGAAGTGCTTTGACAATCATTAGGGTGCTTGGCGAATATGATTTATCTATCAGAAATTGTTTCAGTACTCTTTTATTATAATTGATTGGTGGATAAAGATCCCGCCTTCCAAATACTCAATTTGCAAATCAAGACAAAATTTAGTTTTTTCAAAATCTTTTATCTCAAATCCTTTTTTTAAGGTATTCAACAACTTTTTGAATTTCATCCGAAGTTTCAATTAAATTGAGATTATTGACATATACAACAATGATTACAAATTATGACTTATTTTTCTTTATGAAAACACATTGACATATATGGTCATTTATCTAACCATTTTATGTTAAGTTATCGTTGAGGCAATTGTACCACATTCGGCCTGATTGCTTGAGTCCATTCAAAGATTTTTGCAATTTGATGAAATATGATTCTTTTGACTTTGATTTGGATTATTTAGGATATTAAACCCTTATGGGGATTTTCATAGAGACATCCTTGTCTAAAGAGCTATAAAGATAATTAGTAATTACATCCATTAATCGTATATTAAAATTATTGTATATTGTGAGGCTCACCAAATACCTGAATGTTATTTCATCTATGAATGTTGATATGTTTCTTCAAAATCAATGTCCGATCTCTGGAAAAAACCCTACAATGCAAGTCATACTTTATATATTGTAATATTATTATTTTTCTCTCTTTTTTCTCACAAACACCCACCAATAGCCAACATGTTTCACATTTGTAGGTATTTGGACTTGAGGCTAAATATTTCTCATTTATTCAATTAGTCCAATTCAGACTGAATTGCATATTTCTATTTTTGCCAGTCATTTTTTTGCCGACATCTATCAACTGATTTTGGTTCAAAATTCTCGTCATCTTTCATCAGATCGAGTGTTACAGAATATGCAAAAGTATTATCGACATTTATTTTCTTTCGGTTTATAAATATTTTTCATTAGTGGTATAGTTAACTGAAGTTTCAATTACTTTATTTTCACTTTCATTAGAATTTTTAGTTTCAACATGTTCAGGGATTGTATAGACCTTTTAAGGTATTTGATCATTATTGATCTCTTTACCAATACTCACAATTTTCTTCTTTCGTGAATTTTCATCTTTGGAATCCAACTGTCTGCTACAATTTACGCAGACATTATGTTCATTAGCAATTGACGCTTTATCCGCTGAGATATTTATTAGTCTTATTTCCTAATAAATCAATAATTAAAAAATAATAATTTGAATCACAAACTTAACTATATTCTATTAACTACTAGTATTTTTTCCTTTAGATTTTATTTGGTCATATATAAGAGTTGAAAGTTTTAAATAATAAAATTTTTTAGTTTAATATAATATAAATATGTATTAATGTGATATTATTAAATATTAAATTAATTATTTAATGTAATATTAAAAAAATAAATATGCTATGTTCTTTCCGCATTATAGTGTATGTTTACTTTTAGTGTGAAAATTAAAAATTATTATAATAATAATATTTTAATTATAATGAATAATTAAAATAGTATAAAAATAATTTTACCTTTTGATTTTTGGTGTAAAAATAATAATAATAAAACGAGGGTATTTGAAAAAAAATGGGGGCTATAGTCATTAAAAAAATATATATACGTTAACGCTTTACGGACGAAAATAGAAAAATGTATACATTAACGCGAGATAGAGAGAATGTTTATTTGTATTTTTAATTTGAGATATTTTTCTATATTAGCTATTAGAAATGTGTTGGTAATATAAAAAATATTTTTTTAAAAAAAAATTGTTAAATTTTGATAAGTTTGTTGAATATATAGTTTGTGTGGATATGTATATATTGTATTTTTTTTTCAAAAAAAATTTATTAGGGTGTTTGATTTGATATTTTAGATTAGAATTTGTATTTATTTTTTTTAAAAAAATAATAGTAATAAACAAAAGTTAGATATTTTTAGTGTTTAGATTTTTTTATTATTAGTTGTTATTGAGAATTTTAAAAATTCTATTAAAATATTTAATTGTATTATGTAAAAAAATAATGTATTACTCCCTCATTCGGATATATTTAATCCCATTCCTTTGTATATTTACAAAAAATAAGATTAAATTTGATGAATGAAGAGAATACTACTAAAAATTGTGATTAATATTTTGTGAGAGTGAACAAATTTATTAACTCATCTATCATATTTATCACTATCAATAACTAAATTCAGGTTTAAGGTTTTTTTTTTTTTTTTTCTCGTATTTACTTAATAAAAATTTTACGTAAAATTTAGATTAAAATTTTTATATCACATCATATTTTTATTGTTTAATTATATTTAGATTAATAAAATTAATTTTTCATTTTACATTATTACTGTTTTCCAATTAATACGATTAATTTTTTTTAAAAAAAAATTAACTTCAAAATATAAAATATTCAGCATAATTAGTAAAAATAATAACTTTATTTTAATGTTTCACTAAATAAAAATAATTAAAACAACAATTAATTATAATTATTATATAAATTAATCAATCTAATTAACTATCTAATACAATTTTCTTAAACTCCGTGCCCAAAAAAAGGGGGACTAATTTCGTGGGACGGATGGAGTAAAATTTCGTGACTAACAATATAATTAATGACAAAATAGCAAAAAACACCCCGTGATTTTTCAAATTTGCTGAAAACCTCATGTGGTTCTAAAACTCAAAAAGACTTACTCGTGGTTTCCAAAATGTTAGCAAAAAAATCCCCCTGTTAGGATTTAATGGCGGTTGTATGTCACGTGCCTAAAATGCGATTTTTTTTCCATAAACTGATATATTTCTTTATAAAATTAATAAAATACCCCAATGACTGAGTTTTTACATCAACTTCTTCTTCTTTATTCTTCTGCATACTTTTAAGATTTAATCTCAATTCGTTTTTTTTTTTTTTCATTTTAAATCCGCTAAACACAACCAAATTTGAAATCGATCCCAAATTTATAACACAATTAATCAACCGGACATGGAGATGGAGACGATAATGCATAAGTTATTGCTCACTGCCTATTTTTTCCTATGTTTCACCAAACTTAGAAATTTAAAAAATCAATTTGACATTCAGATTTTCCCATTTAGTTCCAAATCGCCAGTTCGCCAGTTCTTGAACCAACGGTTATGGCAAACCGGCAACGACCGTGAAGAACAAGAAGAAAAAAGAAGAGGGATAGAACCTGGTGCTGCGGGTTGCGACGGCATGAAGAAGAATTGGGGAAGAAAGAAGAATTGAGGAGGAAAAATAAATAAGAAAGAAAATTGGGGAAAAAGAGAAAGAGAAAAAAGAAAGAAAATTAGGAAAAAATAAAAAGAGAAAAATATGGTGTAGCTCCTCCAATCCAACTCGCTTCTTCCTCTTTTCTTCCCTTCTCTTCTTTATTCTCTGCTCCAGCCCCTTCTGCTTGTCGTTTTCTTTCTCATTCTTATTCTTGTCCAATTCTTCATTATTCAAAGAATAATTGGAGATGAAGAAAAAGGGAAAAAAATTTGGGAAAAAGAAAAAAAGAAAGAACCAGGTGGGGCTACGGCGTTGTGAAGAAGAATTGGAGAAAAAGAAGAAAAATATATGAGAAAAAGAACAAGAGAAAGAGCCTAGTACGTGTGTGAAGAAGAATTTTCGGAAGAAGAAGATTGAAGAATATGGTGCAGTTGGGGAGAAGAGAAGAAGAAAAAAGAGAGAAATAAATTCAAAAATATATAAATAATGGTATAACGGTCAAATTTGATAAAATTTAACGTACGTTAGTCAAATTTAGAGAGGGAGGAGAGTGTGCAACATTTTGAAAATTACAAGTAGATTTTTTGAAATTTTAGAATAACGAGAAGTCTTCAGCGAATTCGAAAAACCACATAGGGGTTTTTTGCTATTTTGTCTTAAAAACATTAGACAATTGATTTGCAATTTTATGCAAATGCATAATTTTTTTAACTTCAAGTTCACTATATTTCGTACGAGGATCACCAAAATCAAGTTGTATTTTTTATGAAATATCTTTTTTCAGTTGATTATTGTCTCCCCTAATGTTAGAAAATGAGATTCATCAAAATGACAGATTACAAATCTTGCAGTAAATAAATCACCATTGTTGGTTCAAGATAAGTCACAATTGAAGTTGATTCATACCCGATATATATACTGAACCCTTTTTTAGGTTCCATTTTAGTGTGTTAGGATGGTGCAATTGACACATAAACAGTGCGGAAAACGTAAATCTCATTAACAACAATTTTTTGAAATTGACATGCAGTAATCATCAAATATATGTAATGAATACTTTGAAGTATTATCTAAACGTATTTTATTTATCTTGTGATCTAAAAACTATGTTCGCAATTTGATTATTTGTGCTAGTCTAGCAAAAGCTGGATTGAATAGATAACAAACATACGTCGTTTTGACCCGTCAATTAGTACATAAAGTAAAGGTCCAGAGTGAATCTATAGCTCTACAAATATCACCCTTAATTCTTTCAGAAAAACTGCATATTCAATTCTAACATATGTTGAAGATAGTTTGATTATTAACTTCATTGAAATCAGACAACACAGACAAATTCATTTAGATTCAAAATATTTTTTTTTTTCAATAAATAACTATTTAAATCAGGAAACACAAACAAATTCATTTAGATTCAAAATATTTTTTTTTTCAATGAATAACAATTTGGCTCAACATTACATTATCATGATGCCCAAGTTGTTCGTGCCAAATTATAAATTCATTAGTAGCCACTTAGTCTATTAGGTAATATGTTTCAACCACGACTTTTGAATAATATAAGTCGAAAGAAAATTATAACAATTTTTTTTTTTTTCACAATCCTTTTATCATTCACACAACCTGAGTAATCAAGAGATACTCATTTTCTGAGTCATTCAGTACTTCGATGAGTATAATAATATCTTGAGTTACTGTTTATTTAAATAAAAACTTTATAATTAAACTGTGTTACATTATCAATCAGCATATTACCATTACTTTAGATGGTTATATACATACAATATATTAAAATAATAATTTGAGAAAATATCCATAAAGAAAAAAAGAATGTCTAAATCGGTCATAACAAAATAGGCAGCAGTGTTGATATAAATTTACAATATACGTATAAAAGAAGCAAAATAATATCATGCAATTTACCACGTAATTAATTAGAGCTACTAGGGCATCGATTCGGGTTTGTTTGATTACAATTTCAAACAAAAATCATCACTATTCACCTCGTACGATTTCTAATAAAAATATATTATTTTATCTTATAAAATATCACATCATATCAATTTCAAACTATAGTCAAACAAACCCGAAATGGTCATGATTTCCGGGTAACAAACAAAGTATAGGCACAAATTTGTGAAACTCCTCGTATCATTTATGCAGCAAATACGTCCAAACAAGTTACGAATATTTGATGAAAATCGATGAAATTGCTGTATAACAGACAATTAAGAACTCACTAGAACTAGCAAGCAGACAATTAATTGGTACCACACCTTAGTTGGCGACATAAGCTACCAAAACTCAGAAAATTGTAGATCAGTGTATAATTGTAGGATAACTAACCTAAGGGAGAATCTTGCGGCGCCTACGAGGAGTCTCTCTTTTGACAAACATCTTTTCAAACTCATTGAGAGGTCTGCTCGAGCCATCTGGATTGCTGATAAACTTGAACCCGCCTCCATTGCCACGTTTTCCGCGCGGACCAAGTTTCTCCACCATGAAATTCCATCCTTCGGAAGGACGTCTCCGGCTGTATTTGTGGCATTTCACCTGCTTGGCCATCTATATTGCAGTGGAATAATCATGTCAGCAGCCCTTAACATGAATCTGGTTGGTTAATAATGCTAACTACTTTGGATTGCATGTGGAACAAGCATTTGTACCTTCATTTTGTTGAAATTCATCCGCTCGACAAATTCTTTGTAAAGCATTTCATCCTCTTTCATAGAGATCTCATAGTGCACCTCATCCGGGTCTCGAGTGGTGCCATCCCAACCCTCGGGCATGACCTTAAAATCAGGCTTATATGGCAGAGATGCAACATGGAACTCCCTGTCGTGAGAGATGAAGAACCTGCAGGCACAAGTCATAAGCTTAATGACTGAAACATTTCTGATGAAAAAGAATATACTGAGTGATGCAATCAAATAAACGCAGTAGATACATGAGGCCACGGACAAAGTGATCAGCTTTTGAGTGAATGCAAACCCAGAAAACTATGATCCATAAAGTAAGAATTCGAACTCTTCCCAAGAATAGTACCAGTTCACTTTCAAGAGTTTTGAGCGCCAAAATTCTATTCTCAAACGCGTCGAAAATCACTGCAGAGACACATTATCCTTTTGTATGCTTTCAATGAAAAAAAATTGGTTTTCCATCAAAGAGAAAAACATAAAAAAATATGGAAAAGAATTTGGTACCGTAGAGCGACTAGGATATCCCAAATACATAGGCACTATAACCATCATCTCTAATAGACATGAGATAAACAACATAAATGAATCACAAACAGAAAATATGGGCCAAAATCTAAAGATAAGCAGAAATCATCATTGATAATATGGAAGCTAATACATTCCTGCAAGACTATAACAGAATCACAGTATCACTTTCACAATCAAGATACGAGAAACTAGAAAAGTTCCTTATAAAAAATAGAATCACCAGACATTGTTTAACAAATATGAATATGTGAATCAACATTTATATCACCAAATTATTATGTGTTGCAATACTTTTTATAAGAGAGTAGAGAGCCATTGGCAGCCACAGAGAGTTATCCCCAGTACCCACCAAGGCTATTTAGCACCAATATAGTGTTGTTCTTATTCTGTGGTGCTTGGCTGCAAAGAAATGCACTTGTGGTCTGTGCCCAGAGCAACATTTCAGCTGATATAAATATATAACGTATATAGTGAACCTTGTGTTTGTTTGGGGGTTTGGATTATGGATTGGGATTTGAATAGTAAAAATTTTGAATTTGAATAGTTGTATGATGTGATATAAATAGGTGTTGATGTGATATTTTGAATGTAAAATTGATTTTTAGTATAATATAAAAAATGAAAAATAGGTGTTTGATTTGATGTTTTTTGGGGAAAAAATTTGGATGAATAGTAGGATTTTGACAAAATCCTACAAACGATTTTCACAGACTTAATATATGTGATCTATCACAATGCATTAGAGGGTTATAATTATTCAGACCAAATTAATAAAATAATACAAATCAGAAATCAATGCATAAATCCACTTACTCGGGGAAACTATCAAGCAACAACTCAATAGAGTCATCTAATGGGCGTCCAAGCTTCTTTTCCTCCTCCTCTTCTAGCTCCTTCAGCCATAGAATTGCATGCACTCGTTGTCTCATTATCCTGTATTCTTTTGCTAACTTCTCCACAGTGTAAACCTCAGGATTTTCCTTGTGCTTTTTATACATTTCTGCCTTCTCTGAATCCATCAAGTATGACCCCCTGGCTCCAGGCTCCCTCACCTTCATTGAAAGTTTCCTCAAGAATATTACATGTATACATTTTGTTTAATAAAAAGGGTAACTATCTCATCACATATACAAGTCACTACTGAAAACCAAAGAAAATATACGTATATATATATCTTTAAACCTCATTCGAACATGCAGGAGATACACAAGTACATAAGAAAATTAACTCCTAGTAGACAGTTTGCCCAGAAATACTACAATAGAGTATAGACATCCCAAAAGGAACGGTTTACAAACAGAAAGTTAAAAAAAAAAAAATGACAAAAACTGGCTTTTACCTGCTTCATCAAGACGGTCATCTCATTCATTTTATTATCCCAGCTATCTACAAATGAGGCACCCCTGCGATTTGCTGCCTCCAATTCCCTTACTTTTTCCATCTCTACATCGGTCCACCTAGCATCTGAATAGCTTCCACCCTGACGGGATTGACCCAAATGACCCCCATGGGATGGGCTTTGACGTGGATCTGAAGCCACCTTTTGCCCAATTACTTCACCATCAAAGTGCTCCTTGGTAAGTCCAGTAGACCAGGAGGAGGCACCCAAGTCCCAATTCAATGGGTCAGATGTTGAAGACCCAGTTCCGCCAAAATCAGCAGTCCAATCTGAGTCTTTGCTCCCACTATCATTATTATGTGTAGAAAAGGAATTTTTAAATGCAAAGAAAGGAGCAAGGTTGTGGAGCGATCCAGTTTTATTGTTGATGTTGACTGAGAGCTGTGTAAATGCACGAAGAAGGGCTTGCATTTTCTGTGAATATGAGCAGAGGAAAAACTGGAACCATACATACAATCAGAAGTGTAATGCACGTGATATCATACTTTAACGATGTGATTAATTATTAGTAATCTGAAGAAATATACTTACCTCTATTCAATGAAATCAGAACAAGTTGGTGCAACGTCAATGAGATTGGAAACCTTAAACAATAAAAAAGAACTAATAATTTTTCACTACACTTTAACGGACAATATAACTGTTTCATTATAGTAATAGATATATCATATATATATATATATATATATATGCAAGTATCAGATCAAGCTTATATAACAGGCTACATATATAAAAGGAAATGGAAAAGTTCCTTATTAGAAAACTGATGCATGAGAATCAAAATACCACGGAGTAATTCAGCCCATACTCCCATAGCAACCATCATTGACAAGAAATTCAAAAAAATTAATATCACGACTTGTCCTTTGAAGAGAAAATCAAACTCATGAAATCAGGTGTGGTGACAAGAAATTGCAAGAATCTAAAATTTGGATATCTAAGTGAAAGGCATGCGGAAGTGAATGATAAAACCCTTTCCATCTAGAGGCTATAATAAAATAGGATATCACTGCAACAAAACCTATTCTTCTGTACTGGAAACTGAAGAATCTATCTATTTAGATGCAATATCTATCATCACGCATCAGTCATATTCAAGTTAATTTTAATCTTTGCCACTCTCATTATAGAAAGAAGTATTGACTAAACATGATTCATACTCTCCTCATATTCACTAATTAGAAAAAGTGAAATTAATATCTGTGATTTCATAAAACTGGGAGACATGTCAACATCCATTGTGTACAATCAAGCAACAGAATGAAAGCCAATGGGTTGGGTGATGAATGGTAATCAACAACTCCTTAATCTAAGCAGTAGATAGCATCCATGGCTCCATGCTAATATTCGGAACTCAGAATACACAAGTTACAGGAAGGAACTAATGGGTTGAACAACCAAACTCTGTCACCCAACCATTGGATAGCTTGACTATAGCTATATAGAGAAAGCAAATATAATATGCAACCACTGGTTCTCCATCATTACTATCTCAGAACAAAAGAAGGGAATTCAAATTTACGCTGCAGGCTTAGAGCTGTTATCGATCCGAGCTGAGCCAAATTTTAAGTGTTCGTTAACGTTCGCGAACAAGGCTCGTGTTCGTTCGTTAAGCTTTCGAGCTCGTTCATAATGTTCGAGCTCGACTTGTTAAGAATTTTTGTTGTTTGAGCTTGTGTTCGTGTTCGGTTCGTTTAGGCTTGATTAAGCTCGTTCGAGTTCGTTCGAACTCGTTTGTCTTATTTTTTAAAATTTAAATATAAATTATAAAGAAAATTTAAAATTATTTTATTTATATATTTTAAATTAATATTTTATTTATTTATAAATTATAATTTTATATGTATATATAATATTCATAATAAATATATTATTTAAACGAATGCTCGCGAACGTTCACGAACAAAGCTCGGACTTGTTCGTTAATTAAATGAGCCTGTTTAAATTGTTCGGCTCGACTCATTAACATTCGCGAACGAGTTTTAACCGAGCCGAGTTCACGAACGGCTCGATTCGTTTAACAGCTCTAGCTGCAAAATAAAAGTTCAACAAAACCTAGCTAAAGACTGTCTTTTTGTAGGAATCTCTGCCAGCAAACATATGACAATTACTATGCACGGCACTCGCGCACATAGACTCATTTGATCTAATCCACATATTTCCTTCCAAGGTTAACACCGTGAAACCCGCACAACAAATAAGACATAATTATAATTGTTAGGAACATTCACGGACAAAATTGCAGAAATATTTAGTAAGCATCAAACCCAGAGCTCCACAGCATGTAAACCTGGGCCTCTTCAGGTGCATTCAGGTGCTACAGTGCCTTAGATGTAGATCCTAGATACCGTGAATACGTGAATACAAGAAACGTTAATTATCATCTCACAAGAGGAAAAACACTATTTACTGTGAATTAACGTTTCGAAGAGCAAACTGACGTGCATCAGCAAAAACAATCACAGTATTTTACAAGAGCAAACTGATGTACGTCAGCCAGCGTATTTCAAATCATCCAAGAAATGTTCACTCAGCTTTATTACTTGCACAACCCTCTGGCTCAGCGAAAAAGCAAGGCAAATGATAATAGATGGTTTCTACTGATCCCACGCACCACTATTCTTTTGGATGGGTACCAAATCCAGGAAGTAACTGGTACTACTAGAATATAAAATTATCCAGGTAGCACCGAAGCCAATTCCAAAAAGAGGCAAAAAGATTCAACTAAATGAAACACAAAATTGCACCCATCAAACCGCAAAAGAATGCACAATGCCACAAAAATTAAACTAATAGGCTTCAACCATCCAACAAAAAATTGCAACTAAAATCAAACAATTCAAAACCTAAACACGATAGCAGCCGCCAATTCGATAACAGTAAACAATCGAAAACAGTGTAAGAATTGAACTTACAAAGCCACCGACAAAGTCGTAAAAGGAGAAAACAATACGATTCCCTGTCTTGGAGGACGACGAAGGCAGACAAGAATACGCGGCAGAAATGAGGAGAAGAAGAGAAGGCGATTGAATGGCGGGCGAAAGAGACGAGGAACAAAATTTAGGAACTCGGATGAAATCGACGGGGTGACGGCGAAACGGCGGCTACTGGCTTAGAAATGGAAGGGATTGATTGATTAGTCGAGAAAGGGTAAAATTGGGGATTGGATCCTCGGTCCAAGCCTTATTCAATCTAACCGGTCTAACGCCACATGTATTTGTTATTATTATTATTTTTATTAAATATCAAAATAAAATTTTATCTAATTTGCACATTAGTCCTTCTATCCTAATATAACCTAATTACTAGATTTATATCGTTTCTTTTTCTTCCAAGTCTCGCGACACAGACGCAACTGGTCACTGACGCCGACGCCGACGCGGGCTCTCACGCTCTCGCCTCCTCAAGACCAGAGTTTTCGAACACCCGTTTTGCTACCGCCGACGCCTAACCAGTCGCCGATTCGGACACGCTTCAACAAAACTAGGCGTATGGAAAATCTCAGTATAATCTCGTTATTCTTTCCCCCTTTTTCTCAAATACTATTATATTTCAAATTTGGCTTCATTATTTGTCTTTTTCGTACAAAAAGAGTATTTGTGTGAGTTCAAAAATCTCAATCTTTATTCTTCTATTTTTTCCAGATATTATATTTCAGAGGATTTTAACCCTATGGTAAAAAAAATTGTTTTTAAAGCTTATATAGGTTACAAAATCGTTGTGTACATACACAATCTTTATTTTGTTAAACTTTAGATACAGAATGTATAGAATGTATAAACCGATAAAGAAGAAGTGAAGTCCAATCTTCATCAGGGCAATAGAGAGGTTTTCATTTCAACATATGCTTAACCAGTATTTTGGTCTAAACTTAAGTTGTGCTTTGATGTTGGTGTTGAATTTTTGTTGTGTCATGTTGTGCGGGATTGTACAATAGAACTTTTATGTTACTTTTTTGTTGTTGGTGTTTGAATGTCTGAGTTCGCCTAAAGTAATTGGATAATATTGATTATGATGATTCATGGTTTTGACTTGGTAATTGGTATTGTTGGATCATTGCTTGTTGCGGTGGCCTGACCGGATAGTCTTCTGGCGTGGCGGCATTAGTAGCACGCGGAGGATTGGACAGCTTCGCCATGGCTGAATGCAAAGTTGTCCAGAACCAAGCCTCGGTTTTGCTTCTTGACGAGGGACTATTTATTAAACCAGATTCTTGGACCGGGACTTATTCTGAATCCACTTAAGCTTGTTCTATATATTGACTTATCTTTGGCAAGTGGCTTAGGATCGAAAGTGTGTTGTTGATTAGATGTTGACTTGGCCAAGTCATGCTAGATTGTGCTTGCAATTATTCAATGCATTCTGTGACACTCCGGCCGGCTCAAATCGGAGCGTCATCGCCACGCCACAGCCCTACGTTGTGGCGCTAAGGCTAAAATACCATTACAAAACAATTATTTAAAAATTTAGAATTAAAGCGCACCGACTCATCATTTAAATAAATAAAGTTCGAGTAAAAAATATAAGTTGAAAATAGTTCTTAAACATTAATAATGGATTTAAAAAATATTTTAAAAGATAAAGTAGTTATAGTTCTCCCGATGGATCATATGACGTGGATGCATCATTTAGATATAATAGAAACATGATCACTTACAAAAAGGTTGTAAGAAGAGGGTCAACACAACGGTTAAGTAAGCGCAATTAATCGAAAATAAATTAATACAATATAATGCCACAAAATTATTTGAAGAAGATAATTTGAATAAGACGACAAATATCACATAAGGATAACTCACACACACGAGTCTTTTAGCGCCTTCCTTATATCTTCTTTTCATTCTCAAATAACAGTGAAAAACACATCATAAAGAAAACTCCACTAGGCCTTAATCAGGGCCGGCTCGACCCGGTTTTCCAACCTTATTACTTCGTATGATACGTCACATAGTTTCACATAAAAAGCATAGGAAACTCCACAATGTGTACATAAGGGTTCGAAACTCAAAGTACACGTAAATCAATTTATTATTAGTTTGCGAGGGACGCCATACGACCCACAACCCTCTAGTCTCCAATATAACATACCAAGAGGGGATTGTACGCAATCCATCCTTCCATCACGGATGACGGTCTAAAGACCTTTTCATCGTGAATGACGGGCACCTCGGAATCACCCAAAAAATGAACCCGCCATCTCGATCCCTCGACCTAGCCCATTCGGGATCTAGTTCAAGGTTAGCTAGTTATCCTAAAATACGGGTATACCCTCACGTGTTTGCAAAGCACGGAGGTGGAAAGCTATGCCTTATCATCCAAACGATCGACGAGTTGATCGGACTCGATGGGTAGTTTCAATTACCAATTTGACCAAATACTCAACATGCTCTTAGGCAAATTTCAAAAAAAGTGTTTTAAACTCAAAATATTCCAATTGTCAATATTTAACCATGCAAAAGTAGGATATTACACCAAATAAGTTGTTATAATCTCACTATATTTCGCCAAATAAATATTCGAAAAATATGTCAATCGCAATAGGCATGGTCTAACTCCAAAAATCATAATATCTAAATATAATCGTAAATTTTTTTCCAAAACCCATAACTAGGTTATGCCAAAACTAGGGTTTCAAACTCATCCCATAAATTCTACGCTTTTCAATTTAAAATCCAATAATAATCTTCACATAAGCCTTACATGACATTATAATCAACTTTTTAAAAGAAATTGGCAAAATCTAACACTTTTAGGGTAAACCCATTTGACAATAATTTTGAAAAATATCAATAGAAGGGGTCTAGGGATTAGAACATATCAATCTATCTAAGATTAATCACACTTACCTTAAGAGAAGAGACCAAAAGGAAGAGTTTTGGAGAAGAAGAACTCCAAGAAAGAAGAGGGGTTGGCTGGCAGTGCGTTCTCTGCTGTACTGCCTCTGTTATTTTCTTTTTATTTTATTTTATTTTATACTTTATTAAACATAAAAGACTTGGACTCATCTTCTATCTATATATATATATAGGTACTTTAACTTGGTTACGCTATATCTTAACAAACTATGGATACGCTATATCTTATCAAATTCACACATGGATATGATATATCTTAACAAATTATGGATAAAGATACCTAAATTAAGAGATATGGATAAACTAAATCTAGTTTATTATTTATTTTACCCTAAATTCAATTTTATTCATAATTTAAAGCCAATTCCTTAATCTTATATCAAAATAAATTAGCCCCAAAGTAATATTGTCCGACTCCGGCTTCGAACTCCGGCGAACTTCTGACGAGTATTTTTACGGGGTATTACACATTTAGTAAAAAAATTGGTGAATACAATGAAGTGGGCGCATGAATTGTGTTTGTGGTGTGCTGCAGCTTCACATAGCTTCTACATTATCTTTTGAATGTATGCATATGTCCCTAGTATCTCGCAGGGCAATTGATTTGCTTATTCACATTCCATTTAACCGCTGAATTAAGTTGTTGTGATTTTATTTTTTTTTTATTGTCCAGAAATCTTGATGAGAGTGAATGGAAATTTTGCCTTTGGATGATTTTAATTAAGGTTATTATACCATTCTTATTCATCAATATTTACAAATCCACGATTCTATCTCAACAAAATGGACTACAAAGCATTACTTTCATTATGCTTCTTGAAATATCAAAGATAGTTCTATTCTTTCGCTCCACAACTCCATTATGCTCAGAAGTATAAGGTAGAGTTATCTGATGCTCGATTTCATGATCTTCTAGGAAACTATTGAACTCGGATGAAATATATTCACCACCACCATCCGTTTGCAACCTTTTTATATAAAAACCACTTTGTTTTTCTACATGAGCTTTACATTTCATAGAGCTTGTGACCACTTCAGATTTCTTAGGTAGCAAATAAACCCAAATCTTTCGAGAAAATTGTCAATAAATGTCAAGAAGTAGTTGTTTCCATGAGATTCAACATTCATCGGGCCACAAATATCGGAGTGAACAAGACCAAGTATGTGATTTGCCTGCCAATTATTTTTAGCTTTGAATGGTCGCCTACTTTGCTTTCCTAAAATGCATGCTTCACACACTTGATTGGGGTGATCGATCATTGGCAAGCTTTTTACTATATTCTTTTGAGCAAGCATTTTAAAACTTTGAAAATTCAAGTGACCAAAGTGAAGATGCTATAACCAAGGCTCATCTTTCACAAACATACGATTCTTTGTTAAAGTGGTCTTCAAAATAAGTGTACATTTTATGTCGACAATCGATAAATCACGCAATTTAGAATGCATTTCATATCCTTTCTTCAACAATTGGCCCATTCTTAGGAGATTACTTTTCATAGCAGGCACATAGAAGACCTCTGATATAAAACTGTGTTCTATATTCCTTAACTTAATATGGATGCACCCTTTCCCCATAATTGGCACTGTGCTATCATTGACAAACTTAACTTGGGATCGGACTGATTCATCAAGTTCAACAAAAAGCTTGGGCTTGCCGCACATGTGATTTGTATATCCGGTATCTAGAAACCATGTATACGAGTTCGGCACTTCATTGGTGGAATTAACCATCGAAAGAGCATGGCCATGATCATCTTGATCGTCATATTCTTGTGCATAATGCGTCTTTTGGTCAATTCCTTTGTATCTTCCTTTGCTTTGACCACGCCCTCGACCACGATTTCTGTAATTTAGACCTTTTTGATGGCTTGGATTGGAATGATCAAAATTATTCCGTGTTGCTCCAACATTTTTGTGTCGATATTGTATGTATGGCGACCACCACGGCCACGTCCTTTTCCACGTGAATTGCCACTAGTAGCTCCATCGTTTTGTTTGGTATTAAACGACACTGAACTTTAGAAAGCTTGCTCAATTGTCTTATCCAATTGTTTTTCGTTCATATGCTGCTCATGGACTTGTAGTGTGCCAGATACTTTATCAACGGTCATTGTGGATAAATCGTGAGCCTCTTCAATGGCTTTGACAATATGCTCGAACTTTGCTGTTAAAGTTTGCAATATTTTCTCCACCTTGGCTTGTTCACTAAACTCATCTTCACATGTCTTCATTTGATTTGTTAAAGTCAAAAGACAACTTACATACTCCGCCACCGACTCAGATAGTCTCATCTCTAGAAGCTCATACTGTCGTCTCAATGTTTGCAATCGCACTTTCGTAACCTTCACATCACCTCTATATGTCGTCATCAAAGTATCACATGCTTGCTTTGATGTGGTGGCTCCAACAATTTTCTCGAACACTTCATCGGTAACACCTTGATGAATAAGATATAGGGGTTTTTTTTTTATCTTTTTTCTTATTCTTATGATTGGTTGTCTATTGTGCAGTAGTTGCACCCTCTGGTAATGTTGGAACACCCTCTTCAACAATATTCAGTAATTCATGAAAATCGAAAAACGCCCTTATTTGAACAGTCCATCGATTAAAATATTTTCCATCGAGAACCGGCACGGATAAGGAGATCAAGCGGTTTATGGCTAATTGAAAAGTAACATAATATAGAGTAATTGAGGAGAAAAAAATAAACTTTATTTTTCGATTCTTTTCCTCCAAAACTATTACAATTATATATATTTAAATATATATGATGGATAAATACAAAATATCACTAATTTATTATTCAATATTCACTCAATCATATATTATTATATAATTCATTATTCAATATCCATTAAATCATAATTATATTCCCTCCGTCCCTTTCGTCCCAAAAGAGTTGTCTTATTTTTCATTTTCGTTTGTTCCAGAAAAATTGTCTTGTTTCATTATTTAGTAACCATTTATTTTGAAGACCACTTTAAGAAAGAATCGTATGTTTGTGAAAGATGAACCTTGGTTATAGCATCTTCACTTTGGTCTTTTGAATTTTCAAAGTTTGAAAATGCTTGCTCAAAAGAATATAGTGAAAAGCTTGCCAACGATCGATCACCCCAATCAAGTGTGTGAAGCATGCATTTCAGGAAAGCAAAGTAGGCGACCATTCAAAGCTGAAAATAATTGGCTGATAAATCACATACTTGGTCTCGTTCACTCCGATATTTGTGGCCCGATGAATGTTGAATCTCATGGAAACAACAACTTCTTGACATTTATTGACAATTTTCTTGAAAGATTTGGATTTATTTGCTACCTAAGAAATCTAAAGTGGTCACAAGCTCTATGAAATTTAAAGCTCATGTAGAAAAACAAAGTGGTTTTTATATAAAAAGGTTGCAAACGGATGGTGGCGGTGAATATATTTCATCCGAGTTCAATAGTTTCCTAGAAGAT